GGGCACCCCTGATAGTGGTATCATCTGAGGCCTGGAATCCAGCAAAGGTTTATACTACAGTCATGCAGGACTTCATGACCCAAATTACCCAGTTGTTTTATGTCTCTGATAGCAGAGGCTGCAAGCAGGCTACTCTGCCCTCTCAGCCACCAGCCGAGGAGAGTTTGATTCTAAGACCCCCCACACATGGGATGGACTCTGATTTGATCAGCAGGGGATCTGTCCACTGCTGATCAGAGCAGAGCGGGCGGATGATTAGGCCCGTGTCCGCTCAATTTATGCAGAACAGACATGGACAAAGTCTGCTGTGCTCTGTGGGTTGCCAGTAGTAAACCAACTCTGCTGTCCATTTACATCTGACTGTCCTCTGATCCATCTTTTTAGCAGATCGGATTGGAGATAGGCGGGTGTAAACGGACAAGTCCCCATTTGTGAGTGTAAACTGACACAAGTCCATTTACACCCACCAGTCCATAGGGGTGAATAGAGGGTCCAGTCGGGTCTGCCTGAAAAACTAACAGGTGAACCTGATCAGCCCCTTCATGTGAAAGGGACATTAGTCTTTGAGTGATGAGCTTTCTCCTGAGAATTTTCAGTCCTCTTATCACTCTTAAGGTAAATTAAACCATTTTGGTTCTTACTGATATGGCGTGCACCACTCAGCTAGAGGATCACAGTGTTGCTTTTTATAAGGACTCTAAGGCCTCATGCACACAGGACGTTTTCTTAAGGGCTCGTTCACACTTGACTGTTTTTCCCAACTCTTACCAAACGCCCCTATAGCGTTTGACAAGCGTTGGTCCGGCGTTTGCGTTTTTAACGCTCCGCAAGCGCTCCGCAAACAACGCATGCGTGGTTTAGCGGCGGTTGGTAGGCGTTTGCTAAGCATTAAAAACGCCCCACAAATGCCTATAATGAAGTTTGAATGGTGTTACCGCTCCGCAAACCCTCTGCAACCGCGTTGCAAACGCCAGCCGGGCGTTTGCGGAGCGGCACCATAGACTTGAATAGGAGGCTTCAACTCCTCCTGACTCAACCAGAGGCGTCTGTTTTGCCGCGAGGTAACATGACGCTAACGCTCCCGTTTGAACAGCACCAGGTGCTGCAATGTGCAGAATTTTCCCAGGCGTTTGGGAAAAGGTAAAAACGCTTCCCAAATGCCTGTCTGCCGCTTGCAAACAAGGCTAGTGTGAACGTAGCCTAACTCTCCAAGAAGCCTTTTCTCTTGGCAGCAGCCTTTTGGCAAAGAAAAACAACACCTGATGCTTGGAAAAGCACGTAACATGTTTAGGCGGATTTAGCTGCGTTGAGCATTTGTTCAATATTTTATTGAGTTATAAATTGTAGGTACATACAAGTGGCAAGTACAGTTTGGTAAGTAATAGAAAATTCCAGTGTAAAGTTCAGCAGTCGCATAAACTCACTGGCCACTTTATTAGGTTCATCTTACTTGTTCTGGGGTTGGACCCCCTTTTGCTTTCAGAACTGCCTTTATTCTTTAGGGCATAGATTCAACAAGGTGTTGGAAACATTCCTCAGAGATTTTAGTCCATATTGACATGACCGCATACATTTCTATCATCTCAGACCAGTCTGCCCATTCTCCTCTGACATCAACAAGGCATTTTCGTCCTCAAAACTGACACTCACTGGATATTTTCTGTTTTTCGGACCATTTTCTGTAAACCCTAGAGATGGTTGTGCGTGAAAATCCCAGTAGATCAGCAATTTTGGGAATACTCAGACCAACCCTTCTGGCACCAACAAACATGCCATGTTCAAAGTTACTTAAATCCCCTTTCTTACTCATTCTGATGTTCAGTTAGAATTTCAGCAAGTTGTCTTCACCACGTCTACATGACGTGCCTTAACCATTAGCCGCCCGGCCTATAGCCGTTTGGCAGCCGCAAAAATGCTTTAGCTTTCTGGGGTGTACGCCATTTGGCGTCCTCCCGCACATGCGCAGTTCGCTATGGTAACACTGTACTACTTTGGTCATATTAAAATATGAAAAAAAAATCTTAAAAAAATAAAAAAAATGTAATAAAAAATTAAAAAAATAATGAAAAAATAAATAAAAAAAAAAAAAAAATATATTTTTTTTTTTTCATACTGTCACCAGTCAGTGTCTCTGATCACCGCCATGCCAGTTATATGATGACGCTGTACTGCACTGGTGACAGTATGTAAAAAAAAAAATAGTGAAAATAATTTTTTTAATTTTTTCATTTTCCGAAAAATTATGACAAAAAAAATAAAACTTCAAAAAACTCGCCATTCCTCTTATGAAGTACGTTGGACTGTCTACTGTGCAAAAATGGGTCATTTGGGGGATATCTGTACTATTCTGACATTTTTGGACCTCAAGAAATTAGATTGGCTGTCAGTACTTCAGGATTGATCAATTTTCAGATCTATACCATAGTTTGTGAACTCTATAACTTTCCTACAAACTAAATAATACATCCTAATTTGGGTTATTTTCACCAAAGAAATGTAGCAGAATACATCTCAGCCTAAATTTATAAAGAACAATTATTTATTTGTAAACTTTTATAACAGAAACAAAGAAAAACTTGTTTTTTTTTTCAAAATTTGTAGTCTTTTTTTTGTTAATTAAATACCACCAAAGAAAGCTCTAGTTGTGTGAAGAAAATGATAACATTTTAGTTTGGGTACAATGTTGTATGACCGCGCAATTGTCATTCAAAGTGTGAGAGCGCTCAAACCTGAAAAATGGCCTGGGCAGGAAGGTGTAAAATTGCCCGGTATTGAAATGGTTAATGCATTGAGTCGCTGCCATGTGGTTGGATTGTTACCAATTTGTGTTACCAAGCCATTGAAGAGGTGTACCTAATAAAGTGGTCGGTGAGTGTGGATTCAAATTACAGGAATCCAGAAACACTGCGTCAAGCTTTTAGGCCTTTAATTTATTTTTTTGGTCAGAATAAATAATTTATTCTGGCCATTGAAATGAATTAATGTTCATGCTCTAAACTCAACTAGCATTAACGTGTGTTTACATTCGTTAATCGTCTTTTCTGGCAAAACTCTGCTGTTCCTGGGCTCGCTGGCAGTTGGTTTTTTCCTGCCACTAAAAACTGCCAGAAGTGTGTGTGCATGGACACATAGGCGAACATGCAGGGGAGTTTAGAAACAGGAAGGAAAAAGTCAGACGGCCCTAGGAGCAACTGTAAAAAAAAAAAAAAAAAAAAAAAAACATCCAGTGTCCATGAGGCCTAAAGTTTCAAAGACGTTTTCTTTGTGCCCACTTTTCCAGTTATTTTTGTACAAAGAGTGGACCCCCCAAATAAATCCTGTATAATAATAGACTGTCTCCTCCCTCTAAGCCAGGGGTGTCAAACTCTGTTTCATTGCGGGCCGTATCAGCATTATGGTTGCCCTCAAAGGGTTGTTTGTATCTGTAAGACTAGAAGTCCAGAGTACCCCACCCCCCATTACATCGGATGTCAAGAATCCTACATCCTCCCTAACATCACCGTGCACCCCCTTTGGGGGCAGAGCTGGAAAGCAGAAAGTGCAGGGTCTGGAGGAGGACCAGAGGAGGAGAAAAGTCAGTTACTAGAGTCTGCTGAATGCTGAGACCAGGGGAGGCAGAGATGAGGGGGTGCTGCAGCTGCACTGAGAGGTGCAGAATTTGACAGAGGAGTTCTGTTCTCTCTGCTGCTCACTGCTGAGACAAGGTGGGGGCGGAAACAAGGGGTACCTGCAGGAGAGGTTCAAGGGCCACATGATTTGGTCTGCGGGCCTTGTTTTTTGACACCTTTGCTTTAAGTTTTTCCTAGTCTGTGTAAAGGCTTAGTGAGGATTCTGTTACAAAAATGTCCTGCATATCTCACAGATAAGCCGATCTAGTGGTCACTGGCTGTGATGCAAGTAAGTCCCAACATCATAATTCTGGTATACTGGTCCTGCATGGAGGTCAGGGATAGGATGCAAGATGCTAGCACCAACACGTTTCATCTGTCTTTGGCGCGTGTCCTCATCAGGATGTGGCCTTATTCAAGTCCAGCCTTCTCTTCCTGGGTTATCACTGTCTACTTAGCTGACTGCTTAAAGGATTACACACAAGAATATCTATTAGTAGTTAAGTCAGCGGTTTAAGAAATTCTCTGTCTGATAAATTCCAAACAGGCTATGAAAAGAATGTCAATAATACAAATGTGCTCGAAAAGGGGAAGGGGGGTTACATAGAAAGGGGGGGGGGGCAGGGTGCAAAGCCAGGCATGACAAAACTATAAAGAAAGACCTGGAAAGTCCTCTCTATATTTAACCCCTTAGGATGCATACCAGATGGATATTTTAGGTAAAACTGACCACAACCACTATTAGTTGTTTTCATTCAGCCAGTGGACCGAACAAAAAAATCCGTCACATAAATTGAGGTTGATAGGGAAATCCCCTCCCTCCCCCATAGCTGTCAGAATACACAGATCAGCGACTGATTGAGAAATCTTTTCCAACATGTCCCTTCAACATAAATTAATCAGAAGATCGACTTCAGGGGTGGGGACTGTTGCACAGTTTTTTGGCATATAGTTTTTTGTTTGCCAGTGTCCATTCCTCCTGTAGGCAAGAGTATAACCCAAAGGTTTATGACCCTGCGTCCCTCAAAGGCCTTCAAGAAAAGGATTTCATGGTTAGTGCAAAAGTTTGTTCTGCTATGGAAACTGTAAAAAGGAATTGATAATAAGCCAGCGATAAAAACAGCAATACTTTTCCTGCTACTTGTTTAGATGAAGTGTATGCATCTGCTTAATACAATTGCATTATCCGCTGACCTCAGCTTTTCATAAAGCAGCAAAGAGCCCTTCACTATGCACAGGGTGAAGGGATTCCAGGAACTAGCCTTAGAGACTACATTCTAATTATCTGTACAGGATGCTATTAGACATTGCCGGAGCAGATTTGTCCTTTTCATTAAGCAGAGGGAGCTGTGTAGCACAGAGTACTAAACGTTTTCTTGAATTCCCTTTTAGCTGAGAGTGGCTGCCCAGACACCACATTTATTGAAGACGCCGTACAAGAGCTCCTCAAGACCAGGCGCATCCTCAAGTGTTCTTATCCCTACGGATTTTTCCTGGAACCCAAAAGCACAAAAAAGGAAATCTTTGAACTCATGCAGGTGAAGTTTGCTGTAGTTTCATGGGGCTGAGTTATGTAGGTCACTAAAGATTTGTAATATAAGTATCTATCTGTATATTGACAGAAAAAAAAGACTCACAAATGTCAGCAGTTTATGTGCATTTACATGATGTGCATTAACCCTCAATGACCAGTCTCCACTTTGTGTCTTGACCCTTAGTTACCAGTCTACACATTATGTACATAGCACACTTGGAAATCCACAAAGGAATTGCTTAGAAAGAAGAAATAGAGGTTATGGAGCAAGCCAGTCTAAATCCTGATTTGATTTGATGAAACTTTGTAGGGGGATTTTGAAAAGGGGCAGTGCATGTAAGGAAACCAATAAACAAGAAATGGTCAAAAATCAGAGGAATGATGTCAGAGACTGGTGAGCAGTCATACTAAAAGCCTACAAAAAAAAATTTTTGCTATGGGGGGTGATGTTTATACCCTGTGTTCTGATCATTGGTACTGAACCTGGAACATCAAATTCCAATTTCATGGATTGGAAGTAGTGGTAAATTTAAGGGTGTACATACTTTTTCCATATGACAAATCTCCATTTTTGTTCATTTAGATCAGTGGTCTCCAAACTACATGCAGCGGTCCGGATGTGGCCCTTTGCTTGCATTTATCTGGCCCTTGGGGTACTGGTCCTCCCATTGTTATGAGGGATTTGTCCTCCCTGATGCGAGGCACTATTCCTCCCACTATCACCAGTGATAGAGCTTTATTCTTCCCAGTTACACCAACGATGGAGCACAATATATTATACTGTCACCAATGATAGGACATTACTTCTCCCAATAATATCAGTGTTTGGATACCATTCCTTCCACTAATACCAATGATAGGACACCATTCCTCCCACTAATATCAATGTTGGGGCACCATTCCTCCCACTAATGCCAATGTTGGGGCCCCATTCCTCCCACTAATACCAATGTTGGGGCACCATTCCTCCCACTAATACCAATGATGGGGCACCATTCCTCCCACTAATACCAATGATGGGGCACCATTCCTCCCACTAATACCAATGTTGGGGCACCATTCCTCCCACTAATACCAATGATGGGGCACCATTCCTCCCACTAATACCAATGATGGGGCACCATTCCTCCCACTAATACCAATGATGGGGCACCATTCCTCCCACTAATACCAATGATGGGGCACCATTCCTCCCACTAATACCAATGATGGGGCACCATTCCTCCCACTAATACCAATGATGGGGCACCATTCCTCCCACTAATACCAAAGATGGGACACCATTCCTCTCACTAATACATAGATGATACCACCATTCCTCCCACTAATATCAATGTTGGGGCACCATTACTCCCTCTAATTCCAATGTTGGGACACCATTCCTCTCACTAATACAAAGATGATACCACCATTCCTCTCACTAATACCAATGATGGAGCACCATTCCTTCCACTAATACCAATGATGGGACACCATTCCTTCCACTAATACCAATGATGGGACACCATTCCTCCCACTAATATCAATGTTGGGGCACCATTCCTCCCACTAATACCAATGATGGGGCACCATTCCTCCCACTAATACCAAAGATGGGGCACAAATTCCTCCCACTAATACCAATGCTGGGACACCATTCCTCCCACTAGTACCAATGCTGGGACACCATTCCTCCCACTAGTACCAATGATGGGACACCATTCTTCCCACTAGTACCAATGATGAGGCAGTATTTCTCCTCCTGACCACAGGTGCAATGTAATATTTTTACTTCCACTTTCTACCAAGTCTCAGACGTCTACTTCCACTGATCCTGGGACATTTTCTATACCCACTGGCATAGTCTTGCCCGAAGGTATTAACAAAGGACAGTAAACTGGTCCTTTAATTTATAAAGGTTGGAAACCCCCTATTTAACAAAAGTGATACATCATGCTGGTTTTATGTATCATTTGTTCATGTACATCATCTTTATCTGTGGGCGCTATCGGGCTCAAGACCTGTGTAAATGTTTAAAAAAGGTCAACAAATTCTACAGGGTGTACTTTTTTTTTTTTTTTTTTTTCTTTTACATGAATATAAGATTAGGGGGGTGTGCGCAATATGCTCTGAAGAAAGAGCAGACTGATGTGTTCAGGAGCACTGCCTTCAGTTTCCTTTTTGTTTCCCTTCTACAGACAGACCTAGAAATGGTGACAGAGGATTTGGCTCAGAAGGTGAATAGGCCTTACTTGCGAACCCCTCGCCATAAAATCATCCGGGCAGCGTGTCTGGTGCAGCAGAAGCGACAGGAGTTTTTTAGCATCAGTGGCACGTGGAGTAGCTCCAGCTGACTCTCCTGAAGCATCAAGGCGAAGGTAAAAGTTAATGTGCTTGGGTGATTATGTTGATGCTGGTAATCCCTTAAGCGAAACAAAAAAATTATTTGCAAATTGACATTGGGCAGTATTCATCTTCATTTTTAGAATGTTCCCTGTGAAAGGGAGCCTGACCAGTTAAATAGGCTGCCAAAATTGGCACCATAATGCATGTAAAATCTGTCATGAACAGCGCACTGATTGTTCCCATAATGGTCAACTGAAATGCACATGCGTTGAGGAGCACTTTCAAGGTGTCTTTAGGTTGTCACCAGAACTAGCATCTTTCTTGGAAGGGTTTCCCTCTATTTTTGTTCTGGTGAGAACCCAAAGTTTGGGATCTTCTTTCTCTTTCAATGATAATGGTACACAGAACAAAGAGCGGGGGACTCTCCCTAATAGGGCTTCAGACAGCTGTAAATACCTGACAGGTGTTCTAATCCCTCTCCACTCTATCCCCAAAAAGATGGTTTACCTTTACCTGTTCTTGAACTGCAGCAAAGAACAGTCAGGTCTCCTGCCCGTTCTGACACGGCTGTTCTGTGAGTCAAATTTGTATAAATCTCAGAACTGGATGGATAGGACTACAGATCTTTGTGTGTATTTCATGTGTATTTAACTGTTTACCTGAAGTTCAGCTTTAACATTTCCAATCTGATCTTCACTGTTCATTACTCGAATTCTTCGTCCTCTGCGATGCATCTTCCTGAAGTCCCCTTCCCTGTCATCCTGTCCCTTCACTGCAGGCTGGATCACTTTGTTTTTAAATTAAATACATTCTGCACAGCCCTACAGAACAGGGACAGCTTGGCAAATTCAATTGCAACAGTTTTTTAGATTAGAAAAAGAAAATTAGAAACACTCCGTCAACCCTGAAAATGTAAGATGGATCATTATTATTATTATACAGTATTTATAAAGCGCCAATGGTTCGCTCAGCGCTGTACATTACAAAGGGGGACAGAACATGTGACAGAACAATACCAATACAATGCAAAACATGAGGGAATCGAGGGCCCTGCTCCTTGGAGCTTGCAATCTAGGAGGGAGGGGATAGCGGTACAGGAGGAGATAGCTGTGGGGGATGGAGTGGTAGGAAGAGTGGAGGAGGTCGGCAGGTTAGCAGGGGGTGGGGTAGGCTTCCGTGAAGAGATGGACTTTCAGGGTGCGCCTAAAGGAGAGGAGAGTAGGTGATAATCTGATGGGTTGGGGCAGGGAGTTCCAGAGGATGGGTGACACCCTGGAGAAGTCCTGGAGGCGGGTATGGGAGGAGGAGACCAGGGAACTAGAGAGAAGGAGGTCTTGTGAGGAGCGGAGTGTGCATGCTGGGTGGTACTTGGATATTAGGTCAGTGATGTAGTACGGGGCAGTATGGTGGACAGCTTTGTACGTCAGTGTTAGGATTTTGAATTTGATCCGTTGAGCAATCGGAAGCCAGTGGAGGGATTGGCAGAGGGGGGTGGCGGAGATGGAGCGGTTGGAAAGGTGAATGAGTCTGGCAGCCGTATTCAGGATCGACTGAAGCGGGGATAGCCAGCGGCGAGGCAGGCCAGTGAGGAGGGAGTTGCAGTAGTCAAGTCGTGATATGATAAACACATTTGTACGCATTTAGTGCATGCTATGATGGCTGCAACACATAGACAATATTTTATTATTTTTTGTATGGGATACACCAAGATGCCTGATTAGCAGGTGGCTCAACCTCTCAGCATGCTTGAGGCAGCCGCTCCTGTCCCTCCACAGCCCAGCTCTCAAATGAGCAGTGGAGGAGCAGAGCAGAGAGCGGTGACTGACAGTCACCGCTCTCTGCTTAGTGCAAACTGAGAACTGAGTTTCAGTGGTCATGTTCTTCCTCTGTTCTCGGTCTTAGAACTGATGCCAGACAGCTGCTGCATTGGGCCATTGCTGCAGCCATATCCTGTAGGTGAATATGGATGTTTTTGGTTTTTTTTTTTTATTGCCTGCACTTCTCCTTTAAGAGAAAAGCATGTAGGCAATGTAAGCTCCATGTGCTCATAGAGTAGTCTACAGTCTGTAAAATAAGGATTTCCCTTTGGAAAGGATTCTGTATATTGTATTTATTTGATTTTTTCCATGTATGTATGCTGCTCCCAGATGGGAAGCGATTCCATGTCGCCTCATAAATCTGATTCTAGGGGGTCCAAGAAGCTCCCTTCTCAGGGAACTAGAGAGAAGGAGGTCTTGTTAGAGAGAAGGAGGTCTTGTGAGGAGCGGAGTGTGTATGCTGGGCGGTACTTGGATATTAGGTCAGTGATGTAGTTCGGGGCAGTATGGTGGACGGCATTGTATGTCAGTGTTAGGATTTTGAATTTGATCCGTTGCTCAATCGGAAGCAAGTGGAGGGATTGGCAGAGGGGGGTGGCGGAGACGGAGCGGTTGGGAAGGTGAATGAGTCTGGCAGCCGTATTCAGGATCGACTGAAGCGGGGATAGCCTGTGGTGAGGCAGGCCAGTGAGGAGGGAGTTGCAGTAGTCGAGTCGTGATATGAGGGAGTGGATGAGCTGTTTAGTGGTTTCTGGGGTTAGGAACGTGCGGATTTTGGCGATGTTGCGGAAATCATAGAAACATCACATAGATATGGTCTTTGGTGGAAACCAAACCCTAGAACCAGTACTGCAGGGCAGGACCATGGACCACATAGTCCCTGTGCAACACTATGAAGGCCAGCGTAGGTATTCGGGATCTTTCCATTTTTGTATGAATAATATCAGTAATAATAACTCACACTTTACCCATTGTAAATTCAACAAAACCTTGCCGTTAGCTCGAGCAACATTTTATGGGAACGGTTATTCTACCGTTGAAGAAAGTACAACAGGAGAATATTGTACATTGGAGATGGCTAAGAGGCGTGTCATTGTCTCATTCTGTATGTAATGTTAAGGGGCATGTCATTCTATCATTCTGCATGATCTGATTTGTGCTATTTTCTGATCTCCAGTCTGTGGATAATCTCATTACACACATTAATTACACACTGACGAGGCCTTAAAATAGCGTCGTCAGTCGTGTGTCTCTACTCAGCAGGGACTGCGCTCTAAAAATAGTCGGCACTACCTCCTCATATTCTTCCCTGTCATCCATCCCTTCCCTACTGCTGAATTCATGTTCTTTTATAACAGAGACCTTATCCACATTGTCAATCATATATGTAAATGTTTCTTATTGCTACAGCACTGGAGATATTTTATTTTACTTCCAATGGTTGCACTGATGGCAGAGGCCTCTTGTTTACCTGTGTAAGGCTCCATGCACACTAGCGGGTTTTTTTTTTTAAGCTAAAAAAAAATGCTGGAAAAAACGCTGGTAATAGCGTTTTTTAGTAGCGTTTTTATTATTTTTTACAGTACGTGTAGGGAAAAAAAAACTAGAAAAAAAGCTGTTAGCAGCATTTAGCTTTATTTTCTTCAAAAATACTACTTAAAATAGTGTGCATGGACACATAGGATAACAGTATTCGCTTCTAGGAGCAGAAAAAATATGCTGATAACAGCTTCTAGGAGCTTAAAAAAATGCTAGTGTGCGTGGAGCCTAAGGGTTTGTTCACACTTGATTTAAAATGATAACTCTTAACATGCACATATAGTGTTAATGTGTGTTCATAGGTGTGTTTGACTGGCGTTTAACGCGCGTTAAAAATGCCATATGTACGTTTTTGGCGTGTTTGATGCATGTTAAAACCGCACCAAAAACGCCTATAATAAACTGTAATGTTTGTTAACGCGCCGCAACCGCCTCGCAAGTGTCTGCCAGCGTGTTTGTGGAGCGTTACCATAATGCAAGTGTACAATCCAAATGCACACGTTCCTGCATTAAAAATGGCTGTGTGTATAAGTGGGTGCTGCAGCGACCGTCGGGTGGAACTGAACAGAATCCGCAAGGGAGAATGTCACCAGCACACCGAGGATCACCAATATGGGTCCAAAGGTTTTATAATAAATAATCAAATAGTTACAGCAAGGCAACGTTTTGGAGTCTCGCAGGACCCCTTCATCAGGCATGTGACGACTGATGAAGGGGTCCTGCGAGACTCCAAAACATTGCCTTGCTGTAACTATGTGATCGTTTATTAAAACTTTTGGAACCGTATTGGTGATCCTCGGTGTGCTGGTGACATTCTCCCTTGTGGAGTGTTACCATAGACTTAAATGAGAGGCGTTGAAAGGCTTCAAACTCCTCCAGACTCGACATGAGGCTTCATGTTTTGATAATGTGAACAGCACTGTGTGCTTGTCCATATTATAATTTGCATAGGTGTTTGAGCAGCGTTAAAAACGCCCCTGAAATGCCTGCTTTTAATGCCAGAGTGAACTTCGCCTAATACGCACAGCCTTCACAGGTTTGTACTCTCCAGCTTTAATAAAGGGTCTAGAACAGCAATGGGCAAACTACAACCCGCGGGCCGTATACGGCCCGGCGGACCTTTTAATCCGGCCCGTGGAGCGTGATACTGTCAGGATGGCTGTCAGGATGTGTGTAGGCGGGGCAGCGTGACGAACGTGAGGGGAGCTAGGCTCCTCTCACAGTCCGCCCTGAAGACCGGAACGGCGCGGGAACACGGCGAGAGGAACGTGCGGAGCAAAGGTAAGTTAATTGAATTACTATAGGGGGGATGAATTACTATAGGGGGGATGAATTACTATGGGTGATGATTACTATGGGGGATGAATTACTATAGGGGGGATGAATTACTATATGGGGGATGAATTACTATGGGGGATGAATTACTATATGGGGGATGAATTACTATGGGGGATGAATTACTATGGGGGATGAATTACTATATGGGGGATGAATTACTATGGGGGATGAATTACTATATGGGGGATGAATTACTATGGGGGATGAATTACTATGGGGGATGAATTATGGGGGGATGAATTACTATAGGGGGATGAATTACTATGGGGGATGAATTACTATATGGGGGATGAATTACTATATGGGGGATGAATTACTATGGGGGATGAATTACTATGGGGGATGAATTACTATGGGGGATGAATTACTATGGGGGATGAATTACTATATGGGGGATGAATTACTATATGGGGGATGAATTACTATATGGGGGATGAATTACTATATGGGGGATGAATTACTATGGGGGATGAATTACTATATGGGGGATGAATTACTATGGGGGATGAATTACTATATGGGGGATTAATTACTATGCTTACTATGGGGGAATATTACTATACTTACTATGGATGACACATACACATCATTCATCTACTCTTGGTCCGGCCCCCGGGTCCAATATATGAACCCATTGCGGCCCTCAAGTCAAAAAGTTTGCCCACCCCTGGTCTAGAATGATCATTTTATCACATCCAAATTGTTAAAGCAGGCCTCCAACCAAAACCAAAATATAAAGCAATATGCATCCCGTTAAGATAAATAATGAAACCAGTGTTAGCGGCAATATTTACTTTCAATGCAGAGATTTCTCCTGCAATACATTTTTGTTTTTCTGCCACTAATAGTCCTGAGTCCTCTCAGCCCAGATCATCCTGGCCTTGTCCCAGCCTGAGACAGTGAAGGGAGAAGCAGCACAGTGATGAGCTCATCCCTCTGCTCTCTCCTCCTATCAGCATGCTTCTTGTCAGTACTTGAACTGATTGGCTCCCTGTGCTGCTTCTTCTCTCATGCTCCAGCCCTGCTGTACAGTGACAACAAAAGACTTGTATCAGTTTAGGTTCAGGTACTTACACTGCTCGCATTAAAAAAAAAATATATGTTTACTTATGTATTAATGATCATGGAGTTGCATTAATTTGTGTCTTTCTTATTAGCTTAGGGTTTAGCTTTAATTTCTTTACTGACTTGTATATAGACCTTAAAGTGTTACTAAACCCACAACAGTAACATCAGTCTGTATATGCAGTAAAGCATGCTTGTTATTCTCACTGTGGAACCTAAGGGGTTAATCCTCTGCATTTTGTTAAGTCTGTTTGATCCTGACTTCTCTGCTCCTCCTCTTGTTCAAATGTCCATGTCTTATATCCTGATAAGAAAGACTGAACCCATAGCCACATGCACATGGTCAGTTTGGTGTGTATAGCTAGAGAGGTTTTTTTTGTTGTTTTTTTTTTTTTTTCTTGGGAGAGTGCATGTGATCAGCTCCGGGCCAATCAGCACTGTCCAGACAGAGGGTCAGGGGTTTTGCATCCTCCTAGAGCAGAAAGAAACCTCCTCCTACAAGCTTTAACCAGTGCTCTGCTGAAGTCACAAGACTGCTCTAACATTGCATTTCCATGTTCTGTGTACTGTGGGAGACCAGATATAGTGAATGCAGGGTCTGGGGAGAGCGGATATAGTGAATGCAGGGTCTGGGGAGACCAGATATAGTGAATGCAGGGTCTGGGGAGACCAGATATAGTGAATGCAGGGTCTGGGGAGACCACATATAGTGAATGCAGGGTCTGGGAAGACCAGATACAGTGAATGCAGGGTCCGGGGAGAGCGGATATAGTGAATGCAAGGTCCGGGGAGAGCGGATATAGTGCATGCAAGGTCCGGGGAGATCAGATATAGTGAATGCAGGGTCTGGGTAAACCAAATATAGTGAATGCAGGGTCCTGGGAGACCAGATATAGTGAATGCAGGGTCCTGGGAGACCAGATATAGTGAATGCGGGTCCGGGAGACCAGATATAGTGAATGCGGGGTCCGGGGAGACCAGATATAGTGAATGCAGGGTCCTGGGAGATCAGATATAGTGAATGCAGGGTCCGGGGAGACCAGATATAGTGAATGCAGGGTCCGGGGAGACCAGATATAGTGAATGCAGGGTCCTGGGAGATCAGATATAGTGAATGCAGGGTCCTGGGAGATCAGATATAGTGAATGCAGGGTCCTGGGAGACCAGATATAGTGAATGCAGGGTCCTGGGAGACCAGATATAGTGAATGCAGGGTCTGGGGAGACCAGATATAGTGAATGCAGGGTCCGGGGAGACCAGATATAGTGAATGCAGGGTCCTGGGAGACCAGATATAGTGAATGCAGGGTCCGGGGAGACCAGATATAGTGAATGCAGGGTCCGGGGAGACCAGATATAGTGAATGCAGGGTCCTGGGTTTAGTAACACTTTAGAAAAATCAGTTGTTTACGACTAGAGATGAGCCAAGTGATTTCAGCCAAACTGATTTCACTCTGAAATTACTTGTTTGGTTTTACGTAACATTTTGTGACTTTGTGTTTGCATAGAGGGATTATTGTGAAAACTTAATGATCTCCTCTATTTTGTATTATTTTATTATGTTCTTATTTAATCATGTCGTATTATTATTATTGATATTAATAATTTATTTAAAGGGTGTGTTTTTGATGATGTATTTAGGGTAAGTTTTTTAAAGCCTAACTCTAGGTTTGGCCCAAGCAAACTATTTCCTTTGCTAATTTATGCAGCTGTTACTAGCTCTGTATAACCTGTATGTAGCATCTGTTACTTATGGTATACAGTGCTGTGCTCCAGCAGCAGTATGGGGACTTCCCATCTGCTGCTGAATCAAAGAAGAGTCAGGCTGAGGGCTTCTCCAGCCATTCACAAGAAGCCTTATATTTTTATCAGTGTATACAATGCTTCATCTGGTTGGTTGGGATGAAAAGGTGAGCAGATGACCAGATTTACTGCGGCGTTAATATTCTCTACCCCGGTATATCAGCGAAGGCCTTTCATTCATTGATAAGACCACATTCCTTTGAATGGCTGAGAAGCCCTCAGCCTGACCCAGTTGTGTTCTGGTAGCAGATGGGAAGTCTCCGTCCTGCTTCCAGAACACAGCATGTATGTACATACATTTGTATACAGCGCTGACAGCCACTGTATCAGTTAGTAAAGGAAATAATTTGTTTGAGCCAGCTTGGTCCAAACAAAGTATTTCAAGTAAAAGTAGAAATGGACTGAGACTTTAAAAACCTCATATTTTTTCCCTACCTTCAATTAATTTCTCCAAAATGGTAACGTTCACTGAAAACTCCAAATTTTTGCCAGAGTTTTAGGAAAATGAAAAATTCCCATTTTTTGACAGTTGTGTTGCATCAGGCATTCAGCACACATCCCTAACCAAGATAGCTAGCAAATGCGTGTGTTGGATTCTTCAGCTAACAGTTGATCTGCCCCTTTCAGCAGAGACAGTGGTGTCCAACCATCCTCCTCCTTCAGTACCACAGGAGGAAGGTGTTATAGGTTGCTGTAGAGCAAGGGTCTCCAAACCTTCTAAACATAGGGAAGAATATTGTCCTTCAGACTTTAGGGGGGCTCAGATTGTGGCCATTAAACAACGCCTCAGGCTTGGTGGTCATTTGAAGAAAAAAAAATATAGTGCTTGCGGTCAGTAGAAGGAGGAATAGCACCCCGTAAATGTTAAAAATGGAAGAAATGCTGCCCCATCATTGGTGTCAATGGGAGCAATAGCACCCTATTGTCAGTGGGAGAAATGGTGCCCTATTCTTGCTGTCAGTGGGAGCAATGGCACCCCATTGTTGGTGTCAGTGGGAGGAATGGCACCCCATTGTTGGTGTCAGTGGGAGGAATGGCACCCCATTGTTGGTGTCAGTGGGAGGAATGGCACCCCATTGTTGGTGTCAGTGGGAGCAATGGCACCCCATTGTTGGTGTCAGTGGGAGCAATGGCACCCCATTGTTGGTGTCAGTGGGAGCAATGGCACCCCATTGTTTGTGTCAGTGGGAGGAATGACGCCACATTGTTGATGTCAGTGGGAGGAATGGCGCCACATTGTTGGTGTCAGTGGGAGGAATGGCGCCACATTGTTGGTGTCAGTGGAAGGAATGGCGCCACATTGTTAGTGTCAGTGGGAGGAATGGCGCCCCATTGTTGGTGTCAGTGAGAAAATATTAGTGCCTTGTGTCAGTGGGAAAAATAGTGACCCAAGGGCTGGATAAAGGCTTGCAAAGGCCTGCATCCTACCCACGGGGCACCGTTTGGAGAGCACTGCTGTAGAACAACACATTTTGTGAGAAGAAAGTTAGTTCTTCCCAGTACCATCTCTTAGACCTCATTTGGGTCTCATAGACATGGTAGTTGCTGCTATTGTTCCTGCCCCACACCCTTTACTGCACAGCATTCAGTACGATGTTGGGGTGTGCTGGTGGCATGACCTTGGGCATAAAGCATTAAGGGCTGTAAGATTGAAACCAGTCTGCTTGGTGGGAACTTTGAAGGGCAAAGGCCAGACTGGCATGATCCCAAGGAGTGTTGTGCGATCAAGTCAATGGTGGCCTGTTTACTCTCTGGCCTTGGCTATCTTCCATTTATGTTGAATTTTGATTGATTTATGTAGTAAAATAAATGCATTTCAAACAAAGCAGAATAAAACGTGCAACACAACAGTGCATGGTAAATACGCAAGGTCTTAAATTGAAAAACATGGCTAGCTACACTTAAAACCTCTTTGTCATTAGGTCAGGCATCTGTCAAAATGTAAGGACTATGACATACCTTGAAGATAAGTAGCAAAGTTCTGGGTGGTGTTACAGAGATTTTTGGAAACAGGCCAAGAAACATTGGAGAGAATCAAACTCTCCAACACATCAAAATAAATAAATAAAAGTTTGCACACTGATCTATGTTTGGCCAGGTATAATGGAAATTCAAGGGGTCTGCTGTGAACCCCATAATGGTGGCAGCAGTTCCACCTGTGGATCTGAATCTAGGGATGATAAAGAATTTCAGAACTTTCAGTTGGAAGGTTGTACAAGACCACCAGGGAGCTTAGAGAAAATAGCCCAGGCAGCAGCACTGGGAGGCAGTTTGCAAGCACCCAGGCATGGGAGGTATGAACCCCTTTAAATGATGCCATACCTTTATCCAATTATTTATCTTAGAGCTTTCCTCTATAATTAACTTCTTTTTTTTTTTTTTTAGCTTCGCTGGAGGAACATGGGACTGGGAATATCTAGGATTTGCTTCTCCAGAGGTAATAAACTTTTATTCTTAAAATAATTTCCATCTGAGGTGGACAGATCTAAATTCAGTATGTGGAGGGGTTAGACAAAATGATAATGAATTTATTGAAGTAACTGTTGGCATCCTTTCCCAGAGCTTACAGTCTTCATACAAACAAACACATTTTTGCTAGTTGTAGAGGAATCTGGTTAACTAAGCACATAGAGCAGCGGTAGTCTACATTCTTCATATGGTGGGCTTCAAGTGTGGCCCCCAACATCACCAAAGGGCCGCACGTTAAATTCAGTGAAATTGAATTACCAGAGATAGCAGACACACAACAGGATATAGTCAAAGACAATGGGCATAATAAGAGTGATGGTCAGAGACTTTGGACATGCTGCAGGAGACTGTCAGACACTGTGGCCATGCTATAGAAAGTGTTGGAGACTCTAGACATGCTTCAGGAGACATTGATACTGTAGACATATTACATTTACATATTACATTTCTAGGCTGCTAGAAATTACTACTAAGGCAGGGCAATAGGGAAACACAGATTAGTGTCTTCGGGGGCCCCAAGGTCCTCACCAAAAGAGCTAAAGGGTGGGCGCCAGGCATTTGGAGGAAGCGACATAAACAATGAAAGCACCTATAAACTCCATGCAGAACCTTCTGTGATTTTTAAATTGGTATGCCCATATTGCCACAGTTTTAAACTGTCACCTGTGGAAGAGATGCCTCCCATAGTCCTTATTGTCCTTTAGGAAATAGAACATAGAAATCCATCCAGTCTATCCAGCTTCTGCAGTCCTTTGTCACCTTGTACCAACTGACATGCATGTTGATCTAGTGGCTCCTGGATTTCCCTTTCTGCATGCTTGTTTTGAGTCAGGGATTCAAAAAGCAATAAAGCCATTGCATGAACATGTGACTTGCATTTTCAGGAGTCTATTTTATTTATTTATTACAGGTACTTATATAGCGCCGTCAATTTACGCAGCGCTTTACATATATATTGTACATTCACATCAGTCCCTCAAGGGGCGTACAATCTAAAGTCCATAACTTACATTCATACATACACATACTGGGAACAATTTAGACGGGAGCCAATTAACCTACCAGCATGTCTTTGGAGTGTGGAAGAAACTGGAGTACCTGGTGGAAACCCATGCAGTCACAGGGAGAACATGCAAACTCCAAGCAGGTGGTGCCATGGCTGGGATTCGACCCAACGACCCTAGTACTGCCAGGTGGAAGTGCTAACCATTTAGCCACTGTGCTGCCCAGTGAGTTCAGAAATTCAGAGTTCAGTAATTGCAGGCTTGATGGTTTTTTTTTTACATTTTTACCTGTTATGCAGCTGTCAAATGCCACAGGTTTTACTGCCCACTGCAGTCTGAGCATTTCAAAGCTTGACATAGGGAGGAACTGGAGCCTACTTATGACTTGGCCTGTAGAGATACAGGAATCTTTTTGATGCTTAATGGGTATTTGAGGCATCACATTGCACCAGCACTAAATCTTACCTTGCAAACATCCCATGTATATTACACTTTATATGCTTACCTGGAAAAAGGGATAATTGTTGGAGGAGTGCTAATTTAGGTACGATCTTTAATCACCCTTACAGGAGTATGCAGAATTCCAGTATAGGAGAAGACACCGACAGCGCCGTCGTGATTTGCACAGTATGAGGAGCAACACTCCAGATCCCGATGACCACACAGAAAGCACTTTGGGTACTCTTCAATTTTCTAGACTGGCATCAGCAGCAGTGCAGTTGTTTTCATACTCACTAAGATATCTAAAGATGACTGTAACCCTATGAACCTACATTGCACTAGTGAGCTGGTGAACCCAGAATACATTAGCGAGTGTCAGCCTGTGAACCCAGATTGCACTAGTGTGTACTAAGGAGAACCTGCCAATATATTCAGATTGCACCAGTGAGAGTCAGTCGGTGAACCCAGATTGCACTAGAGAGCCAGCCCTTAAAGGTCAACCCATAAAACCAGATTTTTCTAGTGAGTCTATCCATGAACCCAGATTACAATAGTGAGGGTCAGCCAGTGAACCCAGATTGCGCTAGTGAAGGCCAGCCCGTACATCCAGATTTTACCTCTGAGAGTCAGCCCATGAACCCAAGTTACACTGGTGAGACTTGGCCCACAAACCCAGATTGCACTAGTGAGAGTCAGCCTTTGAAACTAGACTTTACTAGTGAGAGTCAGCTCATAATCCCAGAGTGTACTAAGTAGAACCTGCCAATATATTCAGATTGCACCAGTGAGAGTCAGTCCGTGAACCCAGATTGCACTAGAGAGCCAGTCCATAAAGGTCAACCCATAAAACCAGATTTTACTAGTGAGTCAATCCAAGAACTCAGATTGTGCTAGGGTAGGTAAGCTCATGGAACCAAATTGCATTAGCGAGGCTTGGCCAGTGAACCCAGGTTGCACTATTGAGTCAGCCTGTGAACCCAGACTGTACTAGTGAGAGCTCACAATCCCAGATTACACTAGGTAAAATCTGTCCGTATATTCAGATTGTATTAGTGAGTGTCAGTCTGTGAACCCAGATTGCACTGGTGAAAGACAGCCTATGAACCCAGAGCCAGCTTACAAACCGTTGTGAGAGACCTGTTGATGTTACAAGAAGGATGGGGAAAGAAAGAGCTGGTGCAACCAGAAAATATCTATTTCTGTACAGGGGAAGAATAATGGAAATTACATAGAAAGAAGAGGAATTAATTTGCCCTTTTAAAATTGCGTTTTCAGTTTGATCCCTATCATTTCAGATACCCTGGAGGTTCGTGGTAGCAGGAGACATGGCACATCCACGGTGAGTCCGACCATCACTGATCCAGTATATACTGTATCTTCTTACTCAAAATATATAAAGAACAAATATTTCTGAGGCGATCACATTCCTTGCAGCAAAGCTGAATAGGTTTAGCGTCACTGGAGCAGAAATCATATCAGCCTTAGGAGCTGGAAGATGGCAGCTTTTTTCATTTGTCAGAAAACGTTTCCTAGCGAAACGTTGAGGTTGCCGTTCTCCAAAAACTAGTTGCCTGGTGGTCAGTCAGTAAGGATCCTTTCTGGAAGCATTGTTTATAGGTTGGACACTAACCCTTGCAATCTCTGCAAGTGATTCTAAAACTTTTCAAGTCTCTTGCTTTTTAACTGGTTGTGTGTTCTGTACAACTTCTCTTAGATTTGTAAATGAATGCTATTTTGTAGCCTAAGGTAACAGTTTAGCTGCAAAAAAAAAAAGAATTCTCAGTCCACCATGATATCACTATTGCGTACATTTACCATCATGAATTCCTTTGCAGGCGCTGAGTTCACTGGATGACGACGATCCCAACATCCTCCTGGCCATTCAGTTGTCTTTGCAAGAATCTGGCCTCAGTGTCGATGAAGAGACTAGACAGTTCCTCAACAATGAGTCTTCACTAGGAGCCATAGGTTCATCTCTGCCTACAAGACTTGATCCATCTCCGATAAGCTTGGAGAACCCTAGGTCTGCATTGAGTAGCTCCGAACTGCTAGAACTTGGCGAAAGTCTGGTAAGGCTAGGAGCTAGCAATGACCCATATGCAATAGACCGCATACACTCGAATTCATTCACCGATGTCCCAACATCCAGCAGTGACCTCGATTCTTCTAGTCAAGACCCCAACATGAATGAGAACCTTCTGGGAAACATTATGGCATGGTTCCATGACATCAATCCTCAGAGCATCGCCCTTATTCCGTCTATGGCCTCAGAATCAGACGTTGATTTACAGCCGCTGAGTGTCAGCGACCAGCTGCTGTCTTCTGCTGCAAATTTGGCAGAGGAGCATGCACTTTTTCAGGATGCACTAATTAACGAAGACCCAGAAATGAGAATAGAGGAGATTGCTTCCGAGCAGATAGAAACTCAGGCTGAAGCGATGTCACAGAGTGATGACCACACCAACGAAGTCATGAGCAGTGTGGCCAGCTCCGAAGATATCTCAAGTAGAACTCCTGAACCCCCAACAGAATGGGTCGAACAAGTACATTTGGTATGAGTACGACAAAACCTAAACGTCTATCCGGTAACCATATTCAGATCCTCACATACAACCTCAACACAATGCCACCGTACATTCTAGACCACTTAAGAGATGGATCATGTGTTGGGAATTCTATTAGACCTTTAACTCAACTTGAACTTTTAAACAATATTTTCTGCATTTAACTAATGGAGTTTGATTGCCTTTTATTTTTTTTTTTGTTTTCTTTTTTCAAAACAAGAAATAAGTAGGGTGAAATCTTTACTCAAATAAAATGCAGTCGTCATGTAGCCTTAGCTTGGTAATACTTACCTTGAAGATATGGGTTGAGTTTTTCTGTTTTGTTTTGTTTTTTTTTAAGATCACGTAGGTAGTTTAATTAAATCCTTGCTGTGTTGTCATACCTCAGTTTTTCCCCCTTGCCACAGAAATTCGAATCACTCCAATCATATTCCTTTTGCTTCCTTTGTTATTGTCACTTACGGTTGATAGTTATTTTAACTACAGCAGTGAAACTAAAAACAGAACTGTTTTGTGCAAATTGAATTTGGTGTGAGCAGTGACACAACTCTGCCAGTGACTCCTCCCATGTTTTTGGTTTTGTCATGCCTTATATCTTCTGTCCAGACCAATGTTTGGATATTTGGTGTTCTGTCAAAATTAGCTTGTAATTTCCACTAGAAAGTTGTGTTTTGATACATTTTATTGGCAAGCTGACATTTTTATTTGCAAACACAACTTTTATTCTCCATAGATGGGACATGGCTTTTAAGCTGTATGTAATTCCTGATTAATGTATCTCCTCTTCCCAACCTGCAAAAAATGTACAAGCACATAAGACATTTTAGAAGACAGCGGGAAAGAAAAATTAAATAAGTAAGTAACTGAGTTAAGTATTTCTGGAAGAAGTTAAAAGGGACCTGTGAGCAAATGCTGTCATAAGGCTTTAGCAGCCTTGCTGCTATTGATAAAGAGTTGTAAAACACTGAAACCGCTTTCCTGGAGAAAATGCAAGTCCCGGCTCATTGAAGACCTAGGCATGTGGTCACGTGATCTCTGCTGAACAAATCATTCAATCTGAAGTCTGAACCTTCTCTTCAGTAAAGATCAGATGGCAAATACCTAGACCTTCAGACAAGTGACCAGCATATGAGCGGAATCGGGAACAGCATTTTCTCCAGTAAGTGTTACTATTTCAGACCTCTTTTTACTCTTTTATTTTTGAATCCCAAAGAGACCGTTCACTTTACCTTATGCTAGCATTTGAGTACAGGTCAAGTTTAATATATGTCTAAATAGTATATTTATAAATGGTTTTATTTCTAGTCTAAAAATAATTTCCTTGCATAATTGTCCTTAACCTAGACTTGCTGTTTATTGTTCACCAACAGGTCTGTGCATTACATGTGCAACAGGCACATTGCAAATGGATGTTTTAAAATAATGGCCCTTTTCATTTTATAAGTAGCAAAGCTAAATGAATGTGTTTTTATTTTTCTTAAATTAATTCAGGATGCCTGATATACTAAAAATGTGATTCTACCATCTGAGATATAGAACTCATTATTTGAATATCATAAGGAAGGGTTTGGTTTCATGACAAGTCCTCCATGCATTCTGGAGCCTAGCAGGGAGTTCTACCAACTGACAGTAATAGGGCACGCTTGGCCTTTCAAGTACCTTTTTAAAGTGATTCTAAAGGTACAAGTTTTTTTTTTTTTTTTTTACTTTTAAAGCATTAAAGTAAAAATCCTTCTGCATGCATCTCCCCTCTGAATACTTACCTGAGCCCGATCTTGATCCAGCGATGTGCACAAGATCAGCAGCTCTTTCGGTTCTCTCTCCTCATTGGACAGAGTGATCACGCTTGAGCTCCAGCTTGCTTCGGGGGTACACAGCAGTGGGGAGGAGCCCAGAGAGCCAACGGTGGACCCCAAAAGAGGAGGATCGGGACTGCACTGTGCAAATCCATTGCACAAAGCAGGTAAGTATGACATGTTTGTTATTAAAAAAAAAAAAAATTGCATTTATAATCCGTGAGTTCCTATAAAGAATCCACTAGAACAGTGGTTCCCAACCTCAGTCTTCAAGTACCCCCAACAATATCCTGTTTTTTGGCATTTCCTTCACCTTGCACAGGTACTTTTAATGCAATGTCCTTGGCTTGATATCAGTGAGAGCTATTATACCTAAGGGAAATTTCCAAAATATGACCTGCTGGGGATACCCGAGGGCCAGGTTGGGAATTACTGCACTAGAAGGTACAGCGTTTAAACCCGCTAGTGGATACTTTATAGGCATATATATGGTGGAGTTACTGCATTTGGTCACATTGGTAGACAGTTAGCTGTTGAGAAAGTCTGTGCACCTAAGGAGGATTTTAAATCTAGATCTATAAATGCCAGATATTGGCCCAACAGTCTTACATGCAGGCTCACCTTTGGTTTTGCTGCCCCGTCATGTTTCCCTTGCTAATATACAGTCAGCAGTGTAGGGGTGGTAATTATTGAATTAGCCCATGTCACTTACAGTGTACTATAGCTTAGAAACAGGAAGAGTGCTGTTTGATGGTGGGTGGGTGAACTTGGATACAATCCACAGTCCATGATGTGGACAGGCCTATGTTATGCGATAATCCAGAAAAACCCAGATTCAGCTTGTTGCCCCCAAACCTCATAAATCTGTAAAGACCAAGTGAGGGATCCATCGCTAATACATTCCAGTTAGGTAGGGCAAACTAACAGTTTTGCATTAAACACCAGAAAAGGTTGAGGCCTGTGGTCTCTTTTTGTCCGGGTTATTTGATTTTTTTACTGTGAACTTATGAATGGTGACCATCAGAAAGGCAAAGAGTTGCTTTTAACCTAATTTTATGGAATAAAAGTGGACCTGCTACATGTGAAACTCACTTGCAGCATCTAATTTACTGACAAGCATGCCATTCATGAGAAATGTCACCTGTCAAATTCTCCTCCAGTTTCTGACATAATTTCACAAGAAAAATTACACTAAACTGTATATGACCACTCAGAGCCAGGTAGGTTTTTCTAGTGCATGCTGAGAATATTCTCATACGCAAAAGAGAAATATGCACTGTTCCGGTACATAGGATGGTCACGTTTTCATGAATACTTGTGAATATTTATAACTGTCTGAATAACAGCAGCTTTGTGCAGATATGTAACAAGGTGAATATAGAAGGAATGATGTACAGGTAATGCATGGTCAGTGTGTAATGTTTGTGTCCTGATGTTTGGACAGGTCCACTTTTAAAGTAAGTGAAGACGTAAGGCATACTGTTTTACTTTTGAAGTGCTGAAGGGGTTGATGTATTGAGCTGATGACTGGCAATCGTATCAGTCAGGGAAGTTTTCACTTCGTACATTACTGATAGTTGTTGGTAAATAGAGGTGTTCTTGACTTACATGGACATACAGGAACATAAGAAAAGACAGGGTATGTGATGGTGTGAATGTAGCATGTATATGTTTGCAGAGTGAGGTGGAATCAGAGCAGATGGGCCTTTAGTTAGTCATGTTTACAGAATTTGTATAGGCAAGAGTATTTAAAGTCGATTGTCATCCCTTATTGAATCAAATTTAAATAGGGATACACGACCTGTAGGGAATGTTTGAGGAGAATACTTTTTACAGTATAAGGTAGTGGCCCTCAATTGCAGCTCTAATTAGCAGGGGTAAGTTACAAGAAGAGAAAAGGCAGACACACAGAAAACCTATTACATTATATAGCCTGACCATCACACCTATGAGTTTGTTGCACATCCCATTCCAAAACCATGGGCGTTTTTATGGAGTTGGCCCATGCCTCCCTTTGCAGCTCCTAGAATTCTGGGATGGTTTTCCACAGCATTTTGGCTATGCCTGTGGGATTTTGTGCTGATCAGGTCAGGTACTGACGTTGGATGAGATCCTGGCCTCCAGTCAGTGCTCCTTTTTTTTCCAAAAGACAGTAGGGTTGAGGTCAGGACTCTAAGAAAGCCACTTAGGTTCCTCCACACCAAACTCACCAAAATGATATCTTTAAGGAGCTGGCTTTCTACACAGGGGCAACAGTCATGCTGGAACTGCAAAAGGCCGCCCTCCACCAAACTGTTACCACAATTGGTCTAAAATGTCTTTGTATGGTGAAGGTTAACAGTTCCCTTCACTGGAAACACCAAAATTCCGTCATTTGGAGGGCTGTCCTTATACTTTGGCCAAATAGTAAGTGCGATGGTCAGGTGTCTGCAAACGTTTGGCCATATAGATTGGCTTATTGTTTAGAGTCTGTTTCAATTTAAGTTTTTGAGAAAAATATTAACAGCAGATGTTCCCATTGACTTTTACAGGACACCCGCTAAGGGTCTGCTGCATGCCAATTGCTCAAAGACAGGATTTTTTTGGGGTTTTTTTTTAAATATATATATATTCATCCGCATGTGCCTGACACAGAGTAGGAAATCCAAAAACAGCAAGAGTTAATTTTTTCCATGGATAGGGTTGTTTCCTAAAATTTCTGCAGTGTAAGTTTACGTAATCTACGTAAGTAACCTACCATAACCTGACTTATACTCTACATACTTGTTCCAGGGCAGTGCCTTTATTTGGGCAATTTGATTCTCAAACTTAGAGGAAGCATGTACTGCATCTGCAGTGATGGCACATTCTGAACTGATAAAAAGTTTATTCAGCAGTTTATTTTTAATTTCATATTTTTGCTTGCTTGCCGTGCCATATTTTCACGACTGTATTTCAAATAGAAGTTTTTATTTTTCCATCTATTATCTGTATGACAGAAAAATTTCTTTGAACTGAGAGGAAGGGTGATGCAAACTTGAGGTGCAGCATGACTATACTTTGTATGTATATATAACATATACAGTTGGATGCTTCCGTGTACATGTACAGTATAATTTACAGCCAAAATCTAAATGATTTGAGACAGGTTTTTTTTTGGGGGGGGGGGGGGGTTTAGCCTTGACTGAGGCTTTAAAAGAAAATCATTTGTTTGACCTC